CCTTCGAGGTGTCGTACGAAGACACGTCGAGTTCGGTCAGGCTCTGGCAGCAGTCTTCGAACATGGACTGCGTGCTATCCTGAGTAAAAACGTACCCACGTAATGCAGATTTGCAAAGACAGGAAGACTTGTAATGCGCATCCCCATGAGAGCCATTTCCAGTCGTGCTTTGGAATTTGTGATGCTGTGAACAGAGTGAGCAGATGAATCTGTGATGCGGCTGCACTTGCTAACCAGCACCACACTGCGGAGCGCAATTTGTCATGCGTGACTCCCTAAACTCCTAGGTTTGTGTTGCAAAATCCCCATCCTGACTCTGGTGTGGGGACGTTTTTACTCAGGATACGTGCTGGTTGCGGAGGCCCAAAAGTTGCCTAGCAACTGCGCCGTCTGTGGCACCTCCGGCATCATCGAGGACGCCTCCTGGAACAGAAACGGGAAAAGCGATCCGCCGCTGCTGCCGACCGCGCGCAAAGTGCGGAAACTGCGTTTCCACATCCGCGTCCATTCTACCGCGGTCGTCGTCCCCGAAGTACTAGATGTTGCCGAGCTCAATATCCTTAGGTCCTTCCAGCCAACAATATTGCCGCGTACAACAACGGAATACGTGCCCGTGGCTGCATACGTGTGATTGAGAGCCCCTCGGGACAGATCGGACGCGCCGTCGTCCGTAAAGCAGTCCGAGCAGCGCACGTAAGAAGCAAAATCCCCCTTGGACGCCGTCGTTCCATCGCCCCAATGTACGGTAAACCGGTTCGCCGTTTCGTCCTCGTCGATTTGCAGGCGCACACTGAGCTGAGACGCGTCGGTGAGCTCGATATCCACGCGGAAGGGGGAGTCACCGGGGCAGTTGGGGTCGCTGCCGTCGGTGGTCATGCGCCACAAATCATCACTGCTGTCCGACCACCGCGCGCAGCTGCTTTTCACTCCCGTGTCATCGAGCCAGCCCAAGCTCGCTGAGGCGTCTTGCAGGCCCGCCCATCTCGCGATGTTTGGAGTCGCGCAGGGTGCGCCTTTGAAGAGTCTGGTCATGTCGAGTTCTCCAGCGGCGCTCGAGTTCACCGGCCAAAAGGTCACGCACGGGTTGGCCCGTTGAGCCCCACTAAAGGCCTCCCGCATGTCGGTCACCTTATCAACTGTAAAAATGTCTGGGTCTGGAAGAATTCATGTTTGTCATGCTTGTCTGGCATGACTCTTAAATCTGTCATGCACGTTACCCAAGATCTGCGTTTTTCTGTGATGCAGAAGCGCAGTTTGTCATGCAGAATAGGCAACACCTAGGAGCTCAGAAACTTGTCATGCTGAGCCAGCATTTGTAGCCTCATCATGAGAGGCTACCCAGCATCACAAGTTCCCAGACCCAGACATTTTTACATTTGATACACCTTGCCAACCTGCCACAGCCGGACGTCGGGGTCCGCCTTAGCGACGTCTCCGAACATACTCCGGATCACGCGCGCACTGCTCATGTCCCAAGCGGCTACCTTGAGATGGGAAGAGGTGCTCTCTCGAAACATCGCCGCAAAGTGCCTGCCTTTCTCGGTGTTCCAGGAAGACGTGTCCAGATTCGGATACACGGCACCGGCGGCACGGTCGAACATGCGCGAGAAGTCCGTATCAAATGCAAATTTGTCTGGGTCTGGAAGTTGATTCTAAACTTGTCATGCTGTTTTTGGACTCTGAAAAAATTTGTATTGCATGACCAGCAAGAGGGATACAATCTGTGCTACACGGACAGGGCATTTCTCAGGCGGAAGGCGCATCAAGAAGCCCTCTAAAAGTAAGTCTCGTCTGCGAAGCTAGGTCATGCATTACAGGCATCATGGGTCATGAGAAATATGCATGAGAAATCTTGCATTCTAATTCTTCCAGACCCAGACATTTTTGCAATACATAGTCCGTCACTTGAGACACATTCCAGGAGCTCACGTCCGGATTGATAGCGGCTGAGTCCCCGAACATGTCCTGCACCTCTTCCGCGTGGCGGAGGTCCCAGCTCGCCAAGGTCGCCGCGATCTTCGAGCCAGTTCTAGCAAACATGCCCTGAAAATGCTTCCCGCGCGCCACGGGCCATGCTTCGATGGAATTGCTACCCGTGCTAGCGATCTCCAGTGCCTGACCACCCTGGAACATCGCCCGAAAGTCTGTCACCTGCGACACATCCCAATCCTTGATCCCTGGCACAGTATCGACGACCGGCAACTCTGCAAAAGCATACGACACGTCCGTCACCTTTGACAGGTCCCAGGTCTGCACACTCGCCACGGTCTGCAGCTTGGCCGCCCTGCGGAAGAGAGCGCGCACACTCCGCACCTTCGACCAGTGGCGGAGGAACACTTCGTTGTCTTCGCTGGTGAGCTGCGTGACCTCCGAGCTGTGCTCGTACAAATGGGCAAAAAGGTTGTGGCCGGTCTTGCCGAGGCTCCGGACCCGGCGGTAGGAGTTTTTGAAGTTTGCCACCTCCCCGTCGGTCGTCGTTACATACGGGAGCCGGGCGTCGTCGGTGTCCCGGACGCCCTCCAGCCCAACGTCACCCAGGGTTGTCACGGTTTCCGCCGACACCCACCCTCCGAGGCTGCCGCGGATGACAATCTCGTAGGTGCCCGTCTGTGTGTACGTTTTGTTTGCGGTGAGCACTTCGTGGTAGGATGTGCCGTTCGCCGCCAGGAGGCCGCTGACGCCGAGGCTGGCCGGGTAGACCATTTTGGAGAACTGTCCGGAGTCGGCGTTGGTGCTGCTGTCCCCCCAGAAGATCGTGAACGCGTGGCCCCCTCCCGTGGCCGCGGCCAGGGGCAGACGTACATTCAACGGCGCGGTGACCACTTCGATTTGCAGTCGGAAGGGGTCGTCGTCTTCGCCGGCAAGCAAATCCAGCCCCCGACCGTATTCCGAATCCTGCACGGCGTCGTTAAACTGACCCTGCATTTCGGTCGTGCCGCAGTGGGTGAGCATTCCGGCGAAAACGCCCACATCGGTGGTGGTCAGCCCCAGACTGGGATTCTCCGCATCCACGGCGTAGTCGGACCAGTATCAAATGCAAACATGTCTGGGTCTGGAAGAATGCAAGTTTCTCATGCTTGTCTGGCATGACAGACTCTCAAACAGATCTGTGTTGCGTCAGCACGAAGAGGCTGCTCTCTTGCATGTCATTGTTGTTGTTAGACGGCCCCCCTGTGGTCGTCCTCACGGCGTCATCATCATCTTGGCCCTCGGCTGTTTTGGACAGATTTTGGTTGTGCCCAGCAAGATGCCGGATGTCATGCAAAATAAACGCAGTTTGTCATGAGGAATACGCAACACCTAGCAGCCCAAAAAGTTGTCATGCTTGGCTGCGTATTGCATTTGCAGTGCGAAAAATATCATTCATTTTTAGCATTTACACGCAGACATATAATTTGCAGTCCATAACCAGTAGTCCTCCGCGAAGTTCGGAGTAGCGCAGGTGGCGTTGTAGAAAAATTCCTGGAGGTTGCCCGCCTTGCGGACATTCCAGAACGAAACCACGGGGCTGGCCTTCACCGCGTTCGCGAACATGCGCGTGAGTACACGGACGTTGCCCGTTTGCCACCCGGTCACGTTGGGCTTCGCGGCCGTGGCCGACTCGAACATTGACATCATGTCCGTCACCTGGCGCACGTCCCACAGAGTCACAGCTGGGTTCGCCAGCGGCAGGTCGCGGAACAGGTGGGCCAGGTTCCTTGCGCTGCCCGTGTTCCAGTTCCCCACTACCGGCTGCGCCGAGGCCGCGCCGCGGAACATCGCACCAAAGTCCGTCACGGCGGAGACATCCCAGCTCGACACCGCGGGATCCGCGGCAACCGCGTTCTCGAACATGCGGCCGAGGTGCCTCGCCTTGTTAGAAACCTGCCACTTCGAGGTGTCGGGAACCACCTCAGCGCCGGCGTCGCGAAACATCCCTTCGAAGGTCTGCACGCTAGAAACGTCCCAGTTTTCCGTGGACGCCGCTGCTATCGTCACCTGCGTGCAGCCCGCGAAGAGGTTACGAAGGCTGGTGGCGGCCCCCAGGGCCCAGGACCCCAGGCCAGCAACGGTCGTTATCCAGTGCAAACATCAATATGTCTGGGTCTGGAAACTTGTGACGCTAAAATGTGGATGATGGAGACACTTTCGAATGCACCAGCCCAGCATGACATCTTTCCAGAACGCTTTCTCGTAGGCAGTCCGCATGAGAAACTACCGCGTTTTTGCATGACAAAAATGGCTGCCACTTCTTTTGTTGGTTATGCAATCCAGATCTACTACCAGAAATGTAGAGCTAGCATTACAAATTCCAACTTTCCAGACTCAGACACATTTGCATTTGATAGTCGTGAGCCCGGAGCAATCCTGGAACGCAGCGTCGAAATTGCGGACCGTCGACAGGTCCCAGGTCGCGGTGCTGAGAGCGGTGAGGGTGGCCGCTCCGCGAAACATTCCGCTGATGCTGCTCACCGCTGGCGCGCCCCAGTACCTGCGCAGCAGGGACGGGCGGACCGAGTAGGAGCTGTCCCCCAGAATGGTGGCCCCGTCGTACAGGTTCTGCAAAAGCCCCGGCCCGTGGGGATCCTGGTAGCCGACGTTCAACAGCTGCGTCCACGCGCGCTTGAACGTCGTGTATTGGTTCTCCTGTCCAGATGAAGTCCTCGAGGGCTGCCACCCGGTGGTGAGTCCGCGAAATCGCACCGTCACCACGTACTCGCCGGTCGTACTTATCGCACAGAGACAGAAAGTTAACGCTTGCCATAAGCATTCCACTTGGATTAAGAACTTTTTCGCGATAGGATACGAGAAGGACGCACGGAAGATGAAGATCTGTCCTGCAGCAGCATCTCTTGAGCAGAAAGTACTTAGTTCCAATTACTGCCTGCCCAATATTAATGAATGTCATGACACTTCTTCATTCCTACTTTACTTTGTCAATTATTCTACCCGGGGCCATCATCATTTCCAAATGCCAACAGCAAAGACCAAAAGGCGCGCTAAAATTTTCTGCAGGATATTCTCGTAAGTATACGAAAAAGAGGTCGTCGCAGCCACCGCGGTCCCGCTGTTTGCCGTGGCGTCCCGTGTCACATTCGGGCCACTACCGGGCACGCCCCAGTAAACCGTGACGCGGCTCGCGTTGGAGGAGCTTACAGCTTCGGGGAGAAGCGGCAGCGTCACAGTGTAAGGAACGGTGTCGATCCGGAGTTTCACGCGGAAGGGGTCCTCCTCCCCGGGACAGGCAGTGTCGGCCCCGTCCGCCGTCGTGGCCAGTTCCTCTGCCGTGGGCCCCGACAGGTCGGCAATATCGTTAAAGTGTGACTGGTCAGAGCAGACTTGATTAGCCAGAGAAGTGTCGCCGGCGGAGAAGACTCCGGCGCCCTGCAGCATCGTATCGGGATCAGGTCCCAATTTCACACTCGCACGGAAGTTGAGGCCCGCCAAGTTGGGCGTGGCACAGTGCGCATTGACAAAGAGATTCTGCACAATTCTTGCAGCAGAAACGTCCCAGAGCCCCACACATGGGACTGCCACTTTTGCGCCGTTGAACATCTGTTGCATGTTCGTAACCTTGGACACGTCCCAATGCGTCACGTTCGGTCGCGCGCTGATCGTCTTTGAAAACATGAAGCTTAAGTCCACGGCATTTCCCATCGACCACTCCCCGGTGGCGGGGTCCGCCTTCCTCGCCTCGTGGAACATCGTCTTAAAATTTGAGCCCCTGCTTGTGTCCCAGGCGGAGGTGTCCGGCGTCGCTTCCACTGTGCCACGAAACATTTCCGCGAAATTTTCTACCTGGCCGGTGTTCCAGTTCGCGACGTCCGGGTTCACTTTCCCGGCCAATTTAAACATCCCCTCTAAAGTGGTCACGGCACCGGTCTGCCACGCGCCAAGGTTGTCGTCCGGGGGAAATTCCAGCTCAGCACAATCCTGAAACATTCCCTCAAAGCTCTCTGCACTGGAGACGTCCCAACCGCCGATGCCGGAGATCCGCGTGACCTTGGAATCTTCGAACGCAAAATTGAAATTGCGGACCGTCGACAGGTCCCCTCGTACAAGGGAAGGCACACCCGTACCAGAAAAGGAAACGACTTTTTGTACTTATTTGCATTTGCGGTGTGGTGATGTGACGAAACTCCGGTAGAGGAACGAAAACCTGCCACGCAACATACATAGTGACTGCATCGCGAAAAAGAAAATGTAGTGCAAGCTTCTTAGACAAAAAAATATTTGTCAGGCGAGCTTGAAGAGCTGCCCTCGTCCTGTCGTTGGTTTCCTGGATGTTAATTGTTAATCGCGAAAAAGACAAAAAGCTCACAAAGGTACCACGAAGATCAAGATTTCTGAAGATGATAAACAGACAACAGTCGCCACCTTTTGAATTTGATGCTTTTCGTGCCACGAGACTGCGTCACAAGCAATATTTCGTAGTATGGTATGGGCGTGCTTCTTTTTGTAGGATACCCAGGTCGCGGTGCTGAGAGCGGTGAGGGTGGCCGCTCCGCGAAACATTCCGCTGATGCTGCTCACCGCTGGCGCGCCCCAGTACCTGCGCAGCAGGGACGGGCGGACCGAGTAGGAGCTGTCCCCCAGAATGGTGGCCCCGTCGTACAGGTTCTGCAAAAGCCCCGGCCCGTGGGGATCCTGGTAGCCGACGTTCAACAGCTGCGTCCACGCGCGCTTGAACGTCGTGTATTGGTTCTCCTGTCCAGATGAAGTCCTCGAGGGCTGCCACCCGGTGGTGAGTCCGCGAAATCGCACCGTCACCACGTACTCGCCGGTCGTACTTATCGCACAGAGACAGAAAGTTAACGCTTGCCATAAGCATTCCACTTGGATTAAGAACTTTTTCGCGATAGGATACGAGAAGGACGCACGGAAGATGAAGATCTGTCCTGCAGCAGCATCTCTTGAGCAGAAAGTACTTAGTTCCAATTACTGCCTGCCCAATATTAATGAATGTCATGACACTTCTTCATTCCTACTTTACTTTGTCAATTATTCTACCCGGGGCCATCATCATTTCCAAATGCCAACAGCAAAGACCAAAAGGCGCGCTAAAATTTTCTGCAGGATATTCTCGTAAGTATACGAAAAAGAGGTCGTCGCAGCCACCGCGGTCCCGCTGTTTGCCGTGGCGTCCCGTGTCACATTCGGGCCACTACCGGGCACGCCCCAGTAAACCGTGACGCGGCTCGCGTTGGAGGAGCTTACAGCTTCGGGGAGAAGCGGCAGCGTCACAGTGTAAGGAACGGTGTCGATCCGGAGTTTCACGCGGAAGGGGTCCTCCTCCCCGGGACAGGCAGTGTCGGCCCCGTCCGCCGTCGTGGCCAGTTCCTCTGCCGTGGGCCCCGACAGGTCGGCAATATCGTTAAAGTGTGACTGGTCAGAGCAGACTTGATTAGCCAGAGAAGTGTCGCCGGCGGAGAACACTCCGGCGCCCTGCAGTATCGTATCGGGATCAGGTCCCAAATTCACACTCGCACGGAAGTTGAGGCCCGCCAAGTTGGGCGTGGCACAGTGCGCATTGAAAAAGAGATTCTTCACAATTCTTGCAGCAGAAACGTCCCAGAGCCCCACACATGGGACTGCCACTTTTGCGCCGCTGAACATCTGTTGCATGTTCGTAACCTTGGACACGTCCCAATGCGTCACGTTCGGTCGCGCGCTGATCGTCTTTGAAAACATGAAGCTTAAGTCCACGGCATTTCCCATCGACCACTCCCCGGTGGCGGGGTCCGCCTTCCTCGCCTCGTGGAACATCGTCTTAAAATTTGAGCCCCTGCTTGTGTCCCAGGCGGAGGTGTCCGGCGTCGCTTCCACTGTGCCACGAAACATTTCCGCGAAATTTTCTACCTGGCCGGTGTTCCAGTTCGCGACGTCCGGGTTCACTTTCCCGGCCAATTTAAACATCCCCTCTAAAGTGGTCACGGCACCGGTCTGCCACGCGCCAAGGTTGTCGTCCGGGGGAAATTCCAGCTCAGCACAATCCTGAAACATTCCTTCAATGTATTACAGTGAAAAATGGGTCACCCTGATCCGAAGTTTCCAAATGAAAACTTTTTGTCATGCATGAAAGGAGTGCCAATCTTTCTGATGCAGAGTCTAGGCGTATCTAGCATCGCTTGCATGGCAAGCGGGAGCGCCGCTCTTGCTGGGATCTTTTGCAATACAAATATTTGCTCTTCACGATTGAAAACCTGTGACGCTGATAGATGCAAGAGGGCGAGTATTCCATTTGGAAAGGTTTGCAATACAAACGCTCCCAAGTTCTGGGGTGGGGGCATTTTTCATTGTAATACAAGGCTCTCTGCGCTGGAGACGTCCCAACTGCCGATGCCGATGATCCGCGTGAGCTTGGTCATATGAGCAGGCACAACTCCTCCTCCCCCTCATTTGAAGGGCACGAGCAGCGGCAATAGAAACAGTGACAGAGTTACCCCTAGCGCTGTTGCTGTAGCTTTTGCATTACAAGTCCAGACGCGGACTGTATTACTGTCTGAGTTGTACTCCAGTTTGTCATGCAAGGCAGCGCTACATAGTACAAGTACTACAAGGCAAGAGCAAGACCAAGAGCTCGAGTCGCAGCTTTGCATTACAATCAAATGAGGGGGACGGGGGGCGCTGGGCGCTCTGATAGGTCATGCCAGCGAACGCGAAGCGGAACGTCGTCACCTTGCTCACGTCCCACTGCCGAGCGTCAAGCTCGGTGATGCCGGAGTCCTGCAGGAACCGACTCATGTCCGTGTCAAGGAGAAAAATCCCCTCCCCATATCAAATTCTCTGGCGCGGGATTTCAGGACACAAATGTTGAGTCCTGTCTTGCAGTAGAGGACTGCAGGCGTATGCCAGGCCTGAGGCGCCGCGAGGTTTAATTTTGGCGTAGGCAGCTAGCATGACAAATGTCTGCGCTGTAAGCCCAGCAGCATCGCCACAATCCGCCTGCAAAGTGCGGCGGGCTCCCTGGATAATGTGCCTTCTTGCAACACAGACAGGATTTGTGGGCACAAACCTCCAGCACAAATTTTGATTTTCAGACGGATGGCGCGCTTACAATATAACTCCTATTGCTGAGCGGTGTGAGTTAAAAGTTTGCGCCGGGAACGAAAACGATCAGCCTCGGATTTTTTTTCGCAAGTTTAAAACTTTCAGGTTCTTCGACGAGTGTGCGAAGCTCTGTGTTCAAAAATTTTCGCACAACTTTGAAAGTTTCAGGATCTTCGAAGAAAGTGCGAAGATCGGCGTCGTTTCCTTCGGTGGGTCGTTTATTGCGGAGAATTTTTCTGGCGCGAAATTTCCGCGCGCGAAATATTTTGCCGAGCCGAATTGTTTTCCCTGGCGCCTTTTTTTTGGACAAGAATATTGCGCGCCCAAAATATTTTGGCCGCCGCGGTTTTTTTGCTGAGAGCAAATTTATTTTGCCCGACGAAATTTCTTCGCTGGACGCAAATTTTTTGCGGCCAATTTTTTCGCGCGCGTCCATCTCTCAACTTCCATCGCAAGCCCCATCGCCCAACTCCATCGCCCGACTCTCATTGCCCAACTCTCATCGCCCCACTTCCATCGCCCAGCGCCCCACTTCCATCGCCCAACTGACATCTTCCACCTCCGCGCTTCCGACTCCCATCGCCCAACTTCCACCGCCCAACTCCCATCGCCCAACTTTCATCGCCCAACTCCCGTCGCCTAACTTCCATCGCCCAACCCCCATCGCCCGACTTTCATCGCCCAACTTCGTTCCCGCGCGCGAAATATTTTGGCCACTAAATTTTTCTGGCGCAAAATTTCCGCGCGCGAAATATTTTGCCGAACCGAATTATTTTCCCTGGCGCCTTTTTTTTGGACAAGAATATTGCGCGCCCAAAATATTTTGGCCGCCGCGATTTTTTTGCTGGGAGCAAATTTATTTTGCCCGACGAAATTTCTTCGCTGGGCGCAAATTTTTTGCGGCCAATTTTTTCGCGCGCGTCCATCTCTCAACTTCCATCGCAAGCCCCATCGCCCAACTCCATCGCCCGACTCTCATTGCCCAACTCTCATCGCCCCACTTCCATCGCCCAGCGCCCCACTTCCATCGCCCAACTGACATCTTCCACCTCCGCGCTTCCGACTCCCATCGCCCAACTTCCACCGCCCAACTCCCATCGCCCAACTTTCATCGCCCAACTCCCGTCGCCTAACTTCCATCGCCCAACCCCCATCGCCCGACTTTCATCGCCCAACTTCGTTCCCGCGCGCGAAATATTTTGGCCACTAAATTTTTCGGCGCAAAATTTCCGCGCGCGAAATATTTTGGCGAGCCAAATTTTTTCCCTGAGGTAATTTTTTTGGCCAAGGAATTTCGCGCGCGCAAAAAATTTTGGCTGTTGGAAGTTTTTTGCTGGGGGCGA